CACACATACTTTATGTAAGACCCCTCATGGCAAATGACATTATTGATAATAATGGAAAAGTCATGCAAGTAAAAGGTAAAATATTTACATTTATAAAGCATCAGCTAAATCTCTAGTTTATTCACTATAATGGTCATTATGGATGTGATTACAAGGTGGAAAAATCCTATGATGGTTGAGTGAACTTTTATGCCCACTGGTACTCACTACTAAAACATTTAGAGTAACATATATATATATATATATATATATATATATATATATATATATATATATATATATATATATATATATATATATATATATATATATATATATATATATACATTTGAACGAAGTTAAATTATATATCATCTTTTCGGAAATTTTGGGGACTGCATAATAGTGTGTTTTAAATACTAAGGTATTCCTAATTTTATGAATGTGTTCAAATTTTTATTTGTAAACTTATACAAACTAAACTAATTTTGAAACATTCTTCGTAGCTTTTGTAAATGTCTGAGATATAATGTCATTTTTTTCCGTATGTTTTCTAAGTTGATAACTGCATTATCAATTGCAAAGCAATGAAGTTTGTGTGTTGGCAATTTTTAACTCTTATAAGAAAAAAAAAATGCTTAACTTAGTATAAGACGAATTTGTTTAAAAGATAAAAATAATTTTAATATTTTTTAATGTTTAGCAATAATTTACATTTTTTTCTGGTGGCTTATATTTTTGTTTATTATTTTCAGCTCGCACATTGTTTCCAGACGATAAATAAATCTAAATTTAACACGGAAAAGAAGTAGAATGCAACATTCAAAAAGTGACTTTTAGAAACATATTAAGTCTAAACAAAACATAATCAAGTCTTTATATATATGTTGAAAACCCAATTGTAAAGTTTAAGCAATGCTATAGCCGAGCCCATATCTCAATCTCTCTGAATATATATCTGTCAAATATCGATCTACAAAAATGTGACAATTTCTTTATTTCTTTTTTTATGCCTTTACCTGAATATTTGGTATCTATTATTTTTTTTAAATAAAACTCTTAATATTTACATTGACTTTTTTTCGACTCGTTACTTAATATAATATTGAATTTATATTTAAATATATATAATATGACATCTATCAATTTCACCCAAAATGTTTATTTATATAATACAATTTAACTTTACTAAATAAAAAGAAAATTATTTAAATTAATTATAAAATATTATTTATAAAAATATAATTACTAAAAATAATAGTAAAATGTTTGTTTGTTTTTTAAATATAGTTAAAGAAAATAGTTATAGCGGAAATATTATGAAACCATTTTTGCATAAACTTCTCTCATTTTGATATTATGTTTGGAATTCAGAATGATATAAATGCGTGATTTTATTTTGATATCATACTGATATCATAAACTTCTCACTTAATGATATCAGGGTTTAAGTTCAAAATGATATCAATGTCCGATTTCATTTTGATATCATATTAATATCATAAACGTCTCATATTATGATATCATATATATCATAGTTTGATATCATTCTCATATTGTTATGATATGAAATTCCTGACTGGGATGACATGAATAAAAATTTAAGATAGTTTGGTATATTTTTTATTCACATACAGCTGAAAAATTTCTCCAATAAACGCTGAGTAAAAGCGTTATTATTTACTCGCCCGGCCTATAATTTAAAATTGAATTTAATGCTGCCCCTTCTGCTGCTGCCGTTACTCATTTGTGCGTCTTTGCACAGAAATTACACTCATAATAATGGTGAGGAAAAGTCAAAAAACCTTTTGTAGAAGAAAACATGAGCAAAATTTTATGCAAGTATCTAATTTATGTAAACTTCAAACTATGTAATGTTAAAAAACAAGTTTTACTGTTTTACTTTTACTTGAAAATTGAGTTACCATAAAATCTCCGTAACATTGGTTTGTAGCATTTATTTGCTGTTTTGCAAAGTCATTTGTTCATTGAATAGTGTTAAAAATTTCATTGAACAATATGCTTTCGTGGTCAAAGTAGTTAGGTTGCAGCACTTTTTTTTTCTTTTTGAAAACAAAAAAGAACCGTTCTTATGTTTTATAGATATTTTTACTTTTATAAGTTTTATTTTTTTTTAAAAATTTAATTTTTATTTATAGCATTTACTTAGTAATTTTTGTTTATTAAATATTGGCATGTTATTTTGCCATAGTTGCCTAAGTAGTTAAGTAGTAGTCTGAAGTATTACACAATTTTTTCATTAATTACGTTAAAAATCATTGTTTTAAAACTAGACAAGTCAGGTAAAAAAAGAAGCTTTGTGATGAAAATATATATGGTTAATACAGACGTTAAAAATTTAATAAATCTTAATTTTTTTACCACTAATGACACCAAAAGATATTTTAAAAAAATCATTGGTATTAAGCAATTCAATACATTTGCTAAACTTTACATGGTCAATGGATATTTTGTGACCAGGCACTGGTTGCTTCTAAATAACAAATTCAAAGTACTATGAGTATTAATAAAACGTTAAATTATTGTTTTGTCTATTTTTTCAAAATTTTATGTAAATTTACTCATATATTTAAACATAAAAGTAAAAATAGACAAAACTTTACAAAGTGGAAAATTTTTTCTCTACTAGATCATTCTGGGTAGTTGGGCACTTTCCAAGTTAGAGTGAGTATGATATTTTCTCTTTCATGATTATGAAAACTTCTCTGCTTATTACAATTATGATATTTTCTCGTTTACAATCTAATATCTAAAATGGGTTTTCCGAATTAAAAATTCTAAAGTTTCAAGATCTTGTAAAGCTTATAATTGTTTCTTTGTGTTAGATTTTCTTCAAAGTAAACTACCAAATATGTTTAATATTTTTTTATAAAAACAAGTGACACACACACATAGTACACTCGAAATACTTAAAAATTTTAATTGCACTCTTCCTTTTTCAACACTATCAAATATGGCAAGCTCTCTAGAAAACATCAATGTATTTCTCCCTGTAACTAAATAAAACCAATTATGAAAAAAAATTAACTAAATACCCTTTTATTACCTACATACTTCTTCTCAATCAAAACTAAACTGAGAAATCTTTATTAGAATATATATTGATGATTACTAAATTTATCTTTTATTATTATTATTTTTTTTTATATTGCTGAGCTAATAAAACTATTATTACTTTTGTTTCAAACTGTCCTTTTTAACTCTACTAATACTATAACTATTTTTATTAATTTATCTTTGTTTTAGAAATCGTAATAATACTACTTATAACGGAAGTAATAGTGATTCCATAACAGTAATAGTTTTATGGTTATTGTTCTAGTTTGTCCTAATGTTATGTTTATTTTAACAATTTTTGTCATAAATATAATTTTTACTATAACTATTTTTACTATAGTTTTTATCATCAGTTATAATTATTAGTAAAGTTATTATGTTACAACTACTATTTCTAATTTTTTTTATTTTTATTATTGTTATTGTTATTATTATTTTTATTATATATTTATTGCACTAATTATTATTATCTTTATTTACTAATGCTTTAATTTTCTTTATTTCTACTAATATTTTAATAACAATGTATGTTTTAGAGAGAATTCTAAATTCTCTCTAAAACTAACATTGTTATTAGAATATTAGAAAACTTCAACAATAATAATAACATGAAGAAACTAAGAAAAAAATAAACTTTTACAAGGACAGTATGATATTAAGATTTCCGACATCAGGTAAAGATAAAGCCATTAAAACAATAAAACGCCAAAAAAATTATTGCTTTTGTCTAGGATAAATTCTTTGATCTTCCTGATAAAAAACAGTCAAGTTTCCTGTTTTTAGATATGTATTCTTGATTTCGGAAGTAATATAATTTTATGATTTAGCTGATTAATACTTTATTGAACGAATGCTATTCTTAGACGTTTATTTTAAATGTAGGGCAAGGTTATTGCATGATACAGATCTTAGATTATGATGATAAATGTTATTATAATAATCATATTACATAAAAACTTATTAATAAGCTATTATGTAGACTGCCTCAATTGAAATTGCATCATAGTTGAAAGATTAAATCTTTAACCATTATAATTTCAACTAGACTAATGAAGATATGTGAATCAACGTTTGAGTAAAAAAGCTTAGATTGATCTAACTTTTCTAATGAATAAGCATCTGGCAGTCAACCATTTTATAATAAATCAAGAAAATTAAAAACACACTCTTGAAATTTTCATCTATCACATTTTGTTATATAGTAGCTTATATGTACACGCTTTTTCAGGAAAAACATTACCATTGTTAAAAATAGGCACCATGCTTTTTATACAAAAACAAATAAATGTTCCGGAAAATCTATTTATTTTGGGTTGACGGAATGGTAAAAAAGTTCCTCAAATGTTCCGTGAGTTTTTGCTCAAGTTGCGTTTACACGAGACTATATCTGTTCATGTTCCATGTTCCACGGAATGTTCTGTCAAATGTAAAATTGTGTGAATAGCCTATAAGTCTGCGCATTTATCACACATTTAAATGAATAACATTTTTTACTTAAAAAAAAAAAAAAAAATTACATTCAAACAATATTTCATGTCTAATTCCTAATTTTTTTTTTAAACTTTTTGTACCGATTGAAGTTATTCAACACATTTTAAGCGGGTATTCTAAATATTATTAAGAACACCAGTTTTGGGTACTTAAATCCGAATCGCTGATTAAAAGCGGTTTGCGCATCAAGTACAAAAGCGTTTAAAACTTTTCAATGCGTTTAAAAGTTAATTGTGTAATAAATATTTTTTTATTCAAATGTAGGCAATATGCATGATTTTTCTATCGCTTACTAAAATATATATGAAATAAAGAATAAGTATAAAAATAGTCTGTGTACTGTAGACTTGATCATGTAGACTTACCATGACCCGTATTTTACGAGTCCGGACACATTATATTAAAAATACAACGGTAATTCTTTTCTTTTTCAAAAAGCGTAAAAAGTTTACCTTTGTAAAACAGAGACTTAAAACCACAATATCAGTAATATTAACTTTACAAGCCACATTTCCTTTTATTTTTTCACAGTTTTCTTCGTTTTGAATAAAAAAAAATTATGAAAAAAGCATCAAAGACATCAACTGCTTTATAATTTTATAAAAATAATTTTATAAAAATATTTATCTAAATACAAACTGTTTGGATTTAGCTCTTGATTATTATTATTTTTTTTTTTTTTTTTATGTTTATATAGCTTTGTAGTAATAACATGACTAACTAAACATTGTTTAGAAGTATCTTAAAAACAGTTTCAATAATACTCTTTTCATATACTAATTGTCTCTTATCTTGAGTTTTAAACACAATAACAACTGTTACGCAGTTGCGCAGTTGACTTTTTACCTTGAAAAAAAAAAAAAAATTAAATCAATTGCAATAATCAAGGGTTTGTCGGTTAACCTTATTTTTCTCAGGGAGGGGCAAAATAAACTCACAGCAAATTAGAAATTCGATATTTTTTTTTAGAATGTCGATATTTTTTTTATTATTATAACCTACAATTTTGTGGTCTCGAAAGATTTATTTTATACATTGTCATTTTTTTACATTAAACTATAAAAATATTATAAAGTTTTATATAAGTCAATTGGTTTTTCATAAGATCACGGTCTGAAATTTGACTCGGTTTCAAAGATTTTGAAGTTTGATCAATTTTCAACGTATTGAAATTTTATAAACGTTTTATAGATTTAAATTTTGACCGATTTCAATGTTGTGATGTCAAGCAAAGTTTAAAAGTTTTGAAATATGACCTGATTTCAATGTATTGAAGTTTAATAAAAGTTTTAATGTCTTGAATCGCAATTTTTATTTTATTTTAATTAACTTAAATAGTTTTGGTGAGAGTCAATTTTAATATTAACTTTACCTTAAATTTGTCTTTATAACTCATTTAGATTTATTATTGTTTAAAACATCTTTTTTGTTTAATTTGTTGTTGAATGTGTGCAAGAAACTTGTGACAAATATTTTTATGCAATATTTAATTGCCGATTGTGGTATAAACATAGTTTTAGCTATAACAGTTTACAACTTGCAAAGTAAAGTTAGAAATAAACTTAGTTAAATATCAGTATATACATTTCTTTCACAAAGTAACGTATTCTGAACAAGTCACGGGTCAATTTATTTATGTTTAAACAATTTCTTTTATCAAGATAAAGCAATATTACGTTTAGTTGAAAAGGTTTAATTATTTTCTTTTTAGCAATTATTATAAGTTCAACTTTTAATTTTAATGAAAATTATTAGTTTTAAATAATCATTTAACTCATAGTTCAAACAAACCAACACTTAGACAGAATTTGTTAAATGCTGCCACTAAAGATAAGGTTACCTCTTAAAGATTAACACCATTGGTTCAAGAAAAAAGAAAACCACTTTATGTGGTTCCAGGTAATGTAATTTTGACATTAGTCATTTTTTGAATTAACAAAATTATGAATGTTTAAAAGGAAGAATTAAATAAAGTAAGACTTTGGGAAGTGCCTTCTATGAGCTACGCTGCACTTTTGACAAATTCAGTTGCCATTTAAGCATAATTGAAATTAATTTCATGAGCAAAAAGCTTTTGTGAATGTTCAAACAAAAAAATTAATGTTTTTGTTGGCTTTTGATAAGGAAAAAAAGCATTCAAATTTTTTGCATTTATCATGATTTTTTGCTATATTTGACATTTTTAAAATGAAGGAAGCTGGGTTAAGAAGTTCAGCTAGGTACTGTTACTATTTCCGAGTAAACTTAGTGTGTTTAATTTTAACTGAAACCAAATTCAAAACAAAACAAAACTTTGTTTTGCTTTGAATTTGGTTTATGCTTTTATTGAAATATAAACAAAACTATTTATATTTCAATAAAAGCATAAAAACAAGTTTTGAACTTCAAATTAGAAAGAAATAATTCAAAAATATTGATTTTTGTTTAAAAGGAAAAAGCCAAATTTCTCCAACGGACGTAATACTTTGACTCAAATCTATAAAAATGTGACCGTCTATTTGGGTACTACCATACCCCAAAAAATTTTTCTTAGGACGAAAAAAATGAAATATTTTGCATTTTGTGAACGATAGCATAAGTATATGTTACCGTTCATATACTTCAATTAAGTTAACAATATTAAATAATAACATTAGTAAATATGAATCTAGCCTAAAATCTAGGCTAGATTCATATTTACTAATGTGTTAATGTATTTTATTTATTAAATTGGTCTTAAATTTGCAAATAAAATTTCCTTTACCAATACTGTATTTGACGACTTTTTAATAACTTTAGATGCAGTTTTTATAAAGAATTATTTTTTTTTTTTTTTTAACTTTTAGGAATTAAAACGAGCTTATAAACTTCTTTTTTTAAAAAAAGAAAACTCAAAAATGACATAATTAAACATATATATAAACACATACTGGTGAAATGGAACATATTTATAAAGAGTTTGTGCGGGGTTGAGAGATTTAGTTTTTAAAGTTTTTAAATAAGAAAAGGTGTTTAAAATAGAGCCATTAAAAATTCATATAGTTGACATTTCAGAGAAGAGAGAGGCCATATTTATGATATAATTGCCTTGTTTATGTTTAATCTAAATAAAAAAACAATAATATAGCCTTAAATATACTTAGTATCATATTTGTTGATGACACTAACTTGTTTCTTGTCAATAAAGCTATTTACAAATTCTTTTCTATTGTAAAAAAATAAAAATACCTTTAACTAATTGTTTCAATGGTTATTCACAAAACGGTTAACTTTATTTATTTAGATATATTAATCACAGACATTAATAAAATTGATTTATTTCCTTCCAGTCTCTTAAATAAGTTTAATGAATCAAAATTTTGCGTATTTTTTTTTTTTCATATTGAAATAATAAAAAAATTGCCACAAATTTTACAATCCAGCAGCGTTTATTAAAGAGTGTTGATTTAAGCATTGATGCGGAAAAAAAAATTGATGTGGAAATATCAAAACTAATTCATCGTCAAAAAATTAACGTTGAACTAATGTTGATTTTAGCGTTGATTTGGATACAAGAAATCGGAGTTGAAATTCTAACATCGATTTAACATCAAAAAAATAACATTTAACTAGTCTTGCGTTTTATAATGTTTGAAAAAAAAATGAGTTCAAAAAATTTACTAAAATGTATTTTGTTTAAAGTTTTACAAGTTTAAGTTAGAGGCTAATGTATTTTTCATTTTAGCTATTACTTTCGTTTTCGTTTGACTTAACGTTAACTTCTACTGTACAGTCATCATCTTTTTTTTTTTTTCTTTATTAACTTCTTTTATTAACTTTTTCATCTTCTTTTTCGTAGTTTAAGGATTTCTGTTTACCTCCATTTAAACAATAAAATGCATACTTAAAACGGGAGGCTAATTATGTATAAACTTCTTTGTCTGTTGCTTTTGCATAACAGCTCTAATTAATTCTAGAAAATAAATGCAAAACATTCAAATTAGGTCAAATAAAACTGTAGAAAAAAGAGGAATAAAAACTTTTAATTTATATTATTTAATATGAATACATGATGTTTCCAATTTTTATGTAAACTGGTTTACTTTAAAAAATAGGTGTAAACTAAAGTTTTACACCTATTTTTTTGCGAATTTAACTAAATTCATTAATTTTCATTAGACCATTAAAGAAAAATAGATATATTAATTCAATTAAATAATATAGATCAATATCTTGCTCAGTTTTAAACAATTAAAATTGAAGTAGTATCCTTCCAGTTATAGCTTTTCAAATACTTAATCTTTTCATAGGTAGTTTCACAGTTACTTTTCCATTCAAAGTAACCAAATTGAACATTGATTGTAGTCTGTTTGTCATCAACCCAAAGCAATTCAAAAAACAACATTTTTGTTTTTAATCAGTATATTGGTTAAAATGGTCTTCTTTAAGAAACATGTATGTATTATTGGTTAAAAAAATGTTTTCAAAACAACTCAACAATCTGAAACCTCTATTTTTTTTACATTTGCTTTTATAGTACTTTCTAAGTCCAAATAAATCATTACAATTTTATTAAATTTTTTCTCTATTGTGTCAGCTGTGGTAACTTAACAATCAAATACTTTTATTCTTATAAATAAGTATAACAATAACAGCTGAATACTTTTATTTCTGCACATAAATAAATAAATATATACATTATCATTAAATGTATGCATATATATGTATACATTTATATGCATATATGTTTATATATGCGTATATATGTATACATATATATGCATATATAATCATATGCATATATATGTATATTTATATGCATGTATGTGTATATATATATATTAGGGTGGTGCTTAAAACAACTTTTTTGAGAAAAACCTGCTGGTACCCCCTAAATGTGTTTTATCTAATACAAAAACACTAGGTTTAAAATTTTTTTGAACAAAAATTATTTTTAGGGGTAGCTCAAGGCCCTCAAAAATTTGACGGGTCCCTAATATTTTGAAAAAAAAACTTTTTCTAAAGTATGTCAACCTGGTACTCAAAAGAAGCGATATTATATAAAAACTTCAAAAATAATAATCATTTTACATAAAAAACATGCCTAAAAAAAAATTATTCTCAAAAAACCTGAAAATATTGACTTTTTTTATTTTCAGCTTAAAAACAATAGTTTTTATGCATTTATACCTGAAAAAATTATTTTTATAAAAAATTATTTCCATTTTTGAATTTTTTATATAATTTTGCTTATTTTGAGTACCAGGTTGACATACTTTAGAAAAAGTTTTTTTTTCAAAATATTAGGGACCCGTCAAATTTTTGAGGGCCTTGAGCTACCCGTAAAAATATTTTTTGCTCAAAAAAATTTTAAACCTAGTGTTTTTGTATCAGATAAAACACATTTAGGGGGGTACCAGCAGGTTTTTCTCAAAAAAGTTGTTTTAAGCACCACCCTAATATATATATATATATATATATATATATATATATATATATATATATATATATATATATATATATATATATATATATATATATATATATATATATATATATATATATATATATATATATATATATATATATATATATATATATATATATATATATATATATAACTTTATAATAACACTGAACTTAATAGTAGTGGTAGTGTCCTTTCGAGCCTGTTTGACACGATACTCT